TGTGGCACCTCGTCGTAGTGGGAGGGTAAGCAAGTTACCTGGCCGGTATACTGAGGAAGCACATGTCGTCACTGCTGATGACGGTAAGGAGGATCCGTTGACCTTTAAGGCTACGATGGATGATTTTGATAAGGAAAAGTGGCAAGCATCTATGAAACTCGAAATAGAGTCCATGTACTCTAACTCAATCTGGCAACTTGTAGATCTACCTAAAGGGGTAAAACCCATTGGATGCAAGTGGATCTTCAAGAGAAGAAGTTGAGCGGATGGAAAAGTGGAGACTTATAAAGCAAGGCTAGTGGTTAAGGGTTACACCTAGAAAGAGGGAGTTGACTATGAGGAAACTCTCTCACCGGTAGCCATGCTTAAGTCCATCCGAACACTCTTAACCATATCGACATATTTTGAATATGAGATATGGCAGATGGATGTCAAGACAGCTTTACTGAATGACTATCTTGAGGAAACCATCTATATCGGTCAGCCAGAAGGTTACATAGAGAAAGGCCTAGAGCAGAAAGTCTGCAAGATGTAGAGATCCACTTATGGATTGAAGCAAGCTTCTAGATCATGGAACATACATTCTCTCTAGTAGAAAAGCCTCTGCAGCAGGGCTCCAAAAAAGTGGCCTCTCATCTCTAGTTTTCCTTGGCATTTACACACGCATATCATAACCAAGAGCAGGACAACACATGCAAAAACAAAGGATACCACATTCAAAAAAGGTATTTTTCCGGGGCTACTCATATAATCATTTTGGTCAAGTATATGACTCACAGTTCCAACACCAAATAAAGGAAACAACAGGCAACTCAAATATCAGATAATAAATAAGAAAAATGCTCAGAAAAGCCATCCAATGAACTTACTTGAGCCACTTACATGGGAACTTGCACATTGCATTTCCCTGACAACTTAACCATGTTATGAGCCTAGGAATTTTATGGAATGAGTACCTTATGAAATTAACAAACTGTTTTTTTTTTCCACTTTTGTAAAGACGACCTTCAGGTTTTTTTTTTCTTTTTAAGTGGTCGTTTCAATTATTGAAAACTTTCTTATCGGAGTCCAAGACGATAGAATTGCTGCAATTTTATTTACACCCAATAGACCATCCGGGCATAAGAACAATAAAAGCCCAAATTTTCAAAGATTTGTTCTAAGAGACCCATTCTTACTTTGATATACATTCTGACATACTTTTTAATTAGAAGATATTAATTAAAATATAAAATATAAAAATCTAAAACTTGTGTATTCTATAGAGTATTTATCTCTTTTCTCCCGACAAACTTGATCAAAACAAAGTCAAGGAGAGCCAGTGGAGGTTAGAAATTCTGGACCTGGAGAATTGACATAGAGCTGGTGAAGAAGGCCTACATGTTTTCTGTGTATTATAAATCACAAACTGGGTTCAAAAGGAGCTCTATATGTATGTATGTCTACATATATGTATATATATGTTTATATATATATATAACTATATGATCAGCTACCGATGGTCATATATAGAATGATCTTAATCCTGAGTTCTTAACAAACTGCTATTTATGGATTTGTGTCTTTTGATTTACTTGGTACGGATTCTGAGATCCTGAATCTTATTCCTTGTATTTTGGAGACATGATGAAGTAGGTAGCCGGGAATGTTATTACACGAGATGGAATCCATTCCTTCTTAAGAAATAAGTAGATAAATAATTCTCTTGAGGGTTGATTCGGTACTTGGACCAGTAGGAGCTCCGATTCATGAATGTCTTTTATGAATCACTGTCCATTAGAGAATCAATGGTACTCAAGGATAAA